AACAGTGGGCCTATATTGCCTCTAGTGTTAGTTCTATCTGCAGTGTATTTGAAGAAGCCCTTTCTGTTGTCTTTGACCTCACTAGCAAAGTTTAGTTCCCAGGAGGCCTTAGCTTTCCTTATTGCCTCCCTACATCCTCTGACAACAGTCCTATATTCCTCCCAAGTGGCCAGCCCCTCCTTCCATGATCCATAGGTTCTCTTTTTCCACTTGAGTTTGCCCAGCAGTTCCTGGTTCAACCATGTGTGTCTCCTGGCTCCCTTACTTGATTTCCTACCCACTGGGACACTCTGATCCTGAGCTTGGGAGAAGTGGTCCTTGAATGCTGACCAACTATCTTGAGCCCCTTTCCCATCTAGTACCCTGGCCCATGGGACCTCTCTCAATAATTGATTGAAGAGGCCAGAGTTGGCCTGAGGAAGCCCAGGTTGTGGTCCTGCTAGGAATTCTGTTGCTCCCACACAGGATCCTGAACTCCACCATCTCCTGATCACTGCAGCCAAGGCTGCCATTGACCATCACCACTTCAACCAGCCCCTCCTTGTTGGTGAGCACAAGATCATTACTACATGTTAATCACTAACCAATCACTATAAGGAGGATGGACTGGGAAACTTACTAACTCCATAGATGTGTGTATAAATATGTCATGAAAAATCTCTTTTTTGGGTGTTTGATGGGTGGGAAGGTGCCAAGCTCTGAGCTTTGTACAAACCAGCAAGAAATAACAATGTCCCCTTCCTAACTATAGTCTCTCTGCCTGTGTTTCAGGAGCTGTCTTGAAGTGGTGCTGGTTTGGCCCTGTTGCCTGGCACGAGCCTGCAAAGGGGGTGTTGTTTGCAGTGGTCAGAGGCAGGGCTGGACCTTACCCTGTAGTCAACTGATGTGGAATGGTCCAGGGTCAGCTGTGTCCACCCTGGCAGGCCACCAAGGGGCTTGAAAATGAAGCAATGTGTCAGCATGAGGTGTTTTGGGCCCCACAGCTGGCGAGCTCTCAGCTTGTGAGAGGAGCAAAGACAAGCTTTTCATTCAGCAGCTGCCTGCTCCCTCTAGGGACAGAGTGAATCCTGCCCTGCAGCCACCACTTTGGTCCCAGCTGCTGTCTGGAAGCACTTTCCTGAACTTAAGTGGGAAGACTGTAGGAAGGATGGAATGACAGGGACCTCCCTGATCTGCAGCATGTATTTCCCAGTGGGAGAGAAGGTGGGCACCACCCCAGCAGACTGGGGTGGTAAGAGGTGGGCACTGGGTGGCTCTGTGCCCCTGAAACTTGTCAGTCTGGAGTGGGCTTGGGAAAACCCATCCCACTGCAGACTGCCTCCCCCTGTGTCACCCACTCTCCTCTTCACTAGGCCATTTCCAATACAAACCTTCATTTCTCCTGGGCCCTTCCCCACCCTCTTCTCTCCCACCTGCCCCAAATTTTCCCCTTCTTGCATGGCAGATGCTCCCACCTGCTTCCCTGAGCCCCCATCTTAAGAGCTGTCCTGCCTGGCAGCTTGATTTTGGGATTAGCAGCTCTGCTGGCTGATCACTGCCCTGATCACTTCTGGCTGGAGCTGTCAGGGCTGGTGATGGACTTTCCAGTTCATCTGTGTTCCTTGATGTGGCAGGTCTCCTCCACTGCAGCCCAGACCCACACGTTTGATTCCTGCTCTATGATCCACCCTGCCAAGCCTTGTCCTGCTTTTCTGAGTGCCTGGAGTTCCTGACACCCCAGATGTTCACCCTCCGTGATGATCTGGTGTACGGAGGAGAAAAAAGGACCATGGGAGGACAAGGTTTGCCCAAAAGAAGAGCTGGGGCAGACTCTGTGCCATGCCCAGGGCTGTGCTGTCTCCTGCTCAGCTGTGGAGAAAGCAGAGGGGATCTTTGCCACCATTTCCAACGCCCTCAGGGACATGGTGTGAACTTTGGGGTTGTCCTGTTCTGGGGTGGGAATTGGACTTGGTGATCCAGGCTGCCTGAGGAGGTGGTTGAGCCACCATCCCTGGAGACATCTAAAAAGACAGATGTGGTGCCAGGGGACAGGGTTTAGTGGTGGTTTAGATTTTTCTGCTAAACACCCACATACCTACTTGGCACCATCTTTAGTGGTTGGACTCGATGATCTTGAAGGGCTTTTCCAACCAGAGTGATCCTGTGACACCTTTGCCTCTCCTCCACTCTTTGCAAGGACACGATCTCCCAGCTCTGAGCTGTCTTTGTGGCACTCCCTGGACATGACAGAGCAGCTCACGTGGAACAGATGATGTTGTACCTGCCCTTTGATCTCAGCTCAGGAGCCCCGGGCAGGGCTGTCCTGGCAGTGACGCTGGTTTGATAACTCCAGGGTGCTTCCAGCAATGAACACTGTGGGAGTCTGAGCCAGGCTAAGACTCCCCATTCCAAGAAAGCAGGTCTTCTCCTCCCATGAACTTTGAAGACCTGGAGGAAATGTCACCCTTGAGGAGGGGCTGCTGTGACTGCCTGGTCCTGGGGAGGCCACAACGGGCACCACAGTTAAGAGCAGGTCATGCTCATCATGACCCCTTGTTCCATGACTTCAAGCAGTGTGTGCTACGCAGGGGGGGCTACATCCCCTAATTCCCTCTGCCCCTCGTGGGGACTCATCTTTTGTCCACCCACAGAGTGTGGCTGAGGAGGGAGCATTGTCTCCAGCATTGCTGAGTTTGGGGTGCAGCAGTCACTGCTAAACATCCTTGTCCTTTCTTGCTGCTTCTTGCCTTTTCTTTCCCGTAGACATTAGGAGGAATTTCTTCACTGGGAGGGTGGTGAGACCCTGGCCCAGGTTGCCCTGAGAAGCTGTGGCTGCCCCATCCCTGGCAGTGTTGAAGGGCAGGTTGGATGGGGCTTGGAGCAGCCTGGGCTGCTGGGAGGTGTCCCTGCCCATGCAGGGGGTTGGATCTAGATGATCCTCAAGGTCCCTTCCAACCCAAACCATTCCATGACTGCAGCAATCCCCCTCCCTATGACCATCCTAAGGGTCTTGGTAAAAAACAATTCCATCTCTTCACAGATGGATGTATTTTAAGGCCAAAAGGGACCATTAAATCACATAATTTGGTCTCCTGAGCATTGCAGCCTACAGATTTCCGCTGATTTCCAGCTGTATAGAAGCAGATCAGTCCTGTTTCAATGAAAGCATCATTCTCTTAAAAGCTCCTGCTCTTCATTTTCCCTGGATACAAAGATAGTGCTGCTCTTGGCAGCTTGTTCTGCTGGCTGAGCACCCTCTCTGAGATAAACGTGGATCTTCTTTCCCATCTGAATGTGCCTCAGCCTCAGCTCCCAGGCCGCCAGCCCTCGCCAGGCCTTTCTTTTGACTAATGAATCATTTCACAGCCAGAATCCCTCTTTGCAGGAGCACAACCTGCCTTTTTGTGACATTTAGAAAAAGAAGCAAAGGTGCTGTTTCCCCCTCAGATGCAGAAACCCAAACCACTCCTTTTCTGTGCCGTGCTAAAAAGAAGCAGGGAGCTCTTCTTCCTTCTCGAAGCATCCCTGGCTGCTGAGGGGGCCGGGCCTTGCTGCAGGGATTATTGAATCCATCCTTTTTTGCTTCACTGCAGATTTTTCTCCCCATTATGTAGCTGGATGTGCCCCATCGGGGATCCAGGGTGGTGCACAACACAGGTGCTGGCAGAGATGATGCTCGAGTGGTTTGCCACCTACACTGAAGGTTGTTGCAGGCTCCCTGCCCCTTCTCAATCTGCTCCCTATTGTGGGGTCTGGAGAAGCAAAGATGTCCAAGAAGAGCTGAGATCCAGTGCCTGAAAGTCTTCAGTTCTTTTTCATAGAATCACAGAATAGTTTGGGTTGGAAGGGACCTTTAAAGCTCTTCTAGTCCAACATTCCTGCCATGAGCACAAACATCCTCAACTAGATCATGTCTTTCAGATCCTCATCCAACCTGACCTGCAATGTTTCCAGGAATGGGGCCTCCACCACCTCTCTGGGCAACCTGTACCAGTGCTTCATCTCCCTCAGCATAAAAAACATCTTCCTTTGATCCAGTCTGAATCTCCCCTCTTTTGATTTAAAACCACCACTGCTTGGCCTATCACAACAGGCCCTGCTAAAAACTCCGTCCCCATCTTTTTCATCACCCTCCTTCAGGCCCTGGAAGCTGCTCTCAGGTCTCCCTGGAGCCTTCTCTTCTCCAGGCTCAACACCCCAACTCTCCCAGCCTGGCTCCAGAGCTGCTCCAGCCCTCCCAGCATCTCCAGGGCCTCCTCTGGCCTCTCTCCAACAGCTCCGTGTCCTTCCTGTGCTGGGGACCCCAGAGCTGTTCCCAGCCCTGCAGGGGGGTCTCAGCAGAGCAGAGCAGAGGGGACAATCCCCTCCCTGGCCCTGCTGGTCACGTTGCTGGGGATACATTTGACTTTCTGGGCTGCAAGTGCATGTTTCCCACTCATGTCCAGCATTTTCACCACCAGGACCCCGAAGTCCCTCTCAGGGTTGTCCGATTGGACCCATCTCATTACAAAAGCAATTACAAAGCATTTAAACACACCACAGAAGGCAACCTCTGAACTGCATGTCTCCCATTTTCTACAACACTTCTTAGGACCGTGCCTGAGGCCCATAGGAATTGGTGGGATGATCTCTCCTGGCTTCAGCAAGCTGAGGCAGATCCCTCCATTGCTTTGTCTTGAAAGCCTCACCCATATCCCCCTCCAGCCCCTTGGGCTGAAGCCTCTTTGGCAGGAGATGCAAAAAGTGTTTCCTTTTCCCAAGCACAAAGAGAAGCTGAGTCTGAGCAGAGCTTTGGTGATAAAAATAATTGTTACTAACAGCTGAGACTTCTCACTGTTGGGGAGCCCTTTTTCCCTGGGGTCAGCGGGAAAGATCCCTGAAACCTGTCCTGTCAAAAGGACAATATATGAATTTAAAATGATATTTAAGTCAGGGCTCTGCCAGGGTGGATTCCCTTTCCCTGTGGTGTGGGAGAGCAGCCACACGACCAGTGGCACAGCACAAAGGGGAAGTGCTCCCAAATGCCAGGTGAATTCAAGTTCCTGCACGTATCTTTATTAAAACTGATTTAAATTTAATCACCTTATTAATGGCACGTTTTGTGGTATTTTTTCTTCTCTTTCACCTCACTCTCAGTTCAAGGCCTGGAAAAAAACCCAAACCCTTTGGAGAAGCAGTTAATCATGTCAAGGGAGGACAAATGAAACAATCAAAAATAGAAAGAGCTGATCAGTCAGTTTTCAAAATGCCACCTAATTCTGCACCTGGATTGTGGGTGCTGGCAGTGGTGAGACTTGTGTCCAAGAACAAGGTCTCTGCAGTGAGAAGGTTCTGTGAGTGTTTCTATTCACCAGACAGAGCTGGAGCACAGAGGCCATGATTGGGGACACCAAACAAAGGACATTTGTGGCTGAGGGTGACCTGCCTGCAAGCAAACCCCTGCCAAGAACCTGTGCCCCATTTGGCTACATGGAACATTTACAAATCCAGGACAGCAGGTCATGTGGAGATGGAGTGATACTGGTTTCAACCCATGATCTTCTTCAAAGAGGAGATGGAGTTGAGGAATGGGAGAAGAGATGTGGGGCTGAGCTGTAGCCCTCAGACCTTGGAGAGGGACGTCTTGAGATGTGGGAGAGCAGAAGAAAAATTAATCAGCAGCAAATCTAGAGTCATGAAATGATTTTGGTTGGAAAAGACCTTTAAGATCATCCAGTCCGACCATTTCTCCAGCACTGGCAAGGCCACCACTGACCCATGTCCCTCAGCACCACATCTTGAGAGACAAAGTGGGTCCTATTTCAGAAAAAAACATGGGGACAGACATTTTAGCAAGGCCTGTAGCAACAGGGCTAGGGGTGATGGTTTTAAAATAAAAGAGGGGAGATTCAGACGAGGTATCAGGAAGAAAATTTTTTACAATAAGTGTGGTGGAACCCTCGCCCAGGTTACCCAGGGAGGTGAGAGATGCCTCATTCTTGGGAACCTTCAAGGACAGGCTGGATGGGGCTCTGAACAACCTGGTCTAGTTGAAGATGTCCCTTCCTGTGGTGGGGGGTTTGGACTAGATGAGCTTTAAAGGCCCCTTCCAACCCAAACCTTTCTAGGATTTCCCTGACTTGAGCAAACAGGTTCTGCAGGAATGTTCTGGGTGGGAACACAATGGGAAACCTTCACTTTTCCAGGTGGAACATGTGTTCTGGAGCATTATTTGGACTTTGTTGAGCGGATCACAAGAGTTTTACATTAACATTGACATGAATTCAACCATGGGGCAGGAGCTGCAGACCCTGGAGGGCTCCATCTCATTTCAGGCAGCTGAGATATTCCTGGAAGTAGCAGGCTTCTAAATATCCCACTTTGTGTTTTAATTCCTGCAAGGGAGTGTGGATCGGTGTGGGGTCACAGCAGTGTGGGAGAGGAGGGAACAAGACTGTGTGGCTGGGAGATGTCCCAAAGCCATGGTTCAAACTGGAGGGACTGGGGTGCAGCTGGGAGTCTCCTCGAGGGGCAAGTCAAGCAAAATGGGGAGAAACGAGCAAAGAAATAGCTAAAGGGAGAGCTGTCCCTCCCTGGCTGGGTTCCTTGCCTGAGCTGTTTCCAAAGGACAGCTCTGGCCACCACAGAAGTGGGAATTGTTGCCCTCACTGGGAAACATCTCCCCCATGGCGAGAGAGGCCATCGTGGAGTGTGTGTCCCCAAGGGATGCTCCTCTAAATATCCCATGCCAGGTTAGGATTAGGCCTTTAGCCATGAGGTCTTGGCTTCATCCTCACTGCTTTAGGGTCGCCGTCCCCCACAGCATCACAGAATCCCAGGGGTTGGAAGGGACCTGGAAAGCTCCCCCAGCCCAACCCCCTGCCAGAGCAGGGGCACCCAGAGCACATCACACAGGAACGTGGC